GGTGGCCACGTGAATGAGACACTAGTGTGGGCCCACCATCATGTCTCCTGACATTCTCTCTGGTGGAGTGAGAGAGGAGCCTATCGGCATTTGAATGAACACCTATTTGTCAAGTTCTGTGGCTATGGGAAAGAGGCAAGCTTAGTAAGACGTGGCAAGGGCCTGGAGGGGACGAAGACGATGACGATGGACGATGATGTCTTTCAGACTTCCTCAGGCCTGACCTTCTGTTGTGACACCATGAGCTGTTAAAAGCATGAGAGTTGATGGCTGTGGGGTCCATCTGCCCATGCTTCCCCAAGTTCTGATACTTTGTCTTACGAAGCTAGAAAGGTCTAACCCTGTTATCCCTCGATTTGCATGGAATGAATAAACTGCATGAGTGTCAGAACTAGGTGTTTTTGTGCTGAGAGTGCCACAGTGTTTCCTGAGAGCTCCTTAAATCCTCAGTCTAATCTCAGTCGGGGCCTCTGGCGGCCTGGTCTTTTGGTGTGTGTGGGAAGTGGAGAGGAGACCAGAGGGAGCAATAGAGAGGTGAGAAAGATATGGAAGTAGCTCAGTGCTATAGTACTTTTCAGCAATGCTTGGCTAACTTCCAGGAACCCAGCAAAAGAGATACCATCTTTTTAATCTTGCAAAAACCACAACCCCAGTAGGGACAGGATTGCTTATGGATAAGCAGTTATAGCCATCATTTGCTTTTTTTGGACAGAGGTGGCCTCCAAATACTCTTTGACTCTGTCGAGTCAAGAGAGTCAACCTGAGCAGATGCTTATTGACAAGGAAATCATTTTTCCAGATGAATTTTTAAAATCAATGACTTTCAAACATCAGTGCACATTAGAATCACCCTGGGGAAGGGGGCCACTGTAAAATGTCTGGCCTCGTTCGTCGGGATTCTGAATCAGTAGTCCTTGGTTTAACAGGCATCTGAGGTGATTCAAATAATCAGCAGACACATGCCCTGAAGACTGCCTTAGAATTTGGCCCAGTTTTTGAAATAGCCTCTTTCTGCTACAGTCGGTTTTAATTACTTTCATTATTGAAGGATTTATTAGCATCTCCATGTTTATTACTGGCTTCATTCTCACAGCATCACTGTAACTGAAGTGGGAACCAGAGGTGGTTAGCTTCGTTTTATTGGGGCTGAGGGGGTGGAAGGTGGGATTGAGGCATAGGAAGAGGTGGGTCATAGTGAGTCAGAGACAGAGGGGGTAACTGAAGTCCAGAATTGATGACTCTCAAACCAGGCAATTTTCCTGGGCCTATTTTCTCAGCTTGAGATTTCATATTTAATCATAGTTATTCCTTAGGCCTCCAATTCATCGTGCTTGGGTAAGCAAAGCATATTTTGAGTCTTAAATAAAATAGCTTCGCATTAGCATGCCAGTTTTTGTTAGCACGTGTAGGCCCTCTAAGCTTGAACTAATATGTAGATGATAGTGTAGGTGGGACTGACTTAATCTGCTTCTCTCCACACTCACTCTATCTTTTTTTTTTAATGCCAAAGGGTATGCATGTGCTTGTGCAAGCGGGAGAGAAAGAGTACGCACAAGCGCATCCCCCTATAGTGTGTGATGCTGCTGCAGTTCCCCTTCCTCCACTTCTCTATCCCATCAGGATCCTGGGCACATGCACATTTGCCAGCTGTGGTTTTCAAGCTGCCAGGGTGGGACTCAAACCACAGTCAGCCATGTGGGATCCAGCCTTCCATGCACAGTGGTTAATCACTGGACTCCAGACCCATCCCTTTATCATTTCTAGACATTTTTACATAAGTTATAAGGAATAGATCTCTCCTCTGTATGCCAATAGGAACCCCCTTTGAGTTTCTAACTAATAAAATACTAATTCAAAAAAAACCTCTTAACTCTCTGTCTCTCACATTTGAATATTATATGGAATATTTTTTTTGGCCAGAGGGCATGTGGGCTCACCAGAGAGAAAGTGACACAGAGAGAGGGAGAGGAGAAAGCATCCCCCATGGGGAATCATCATGTTGCGATTCCCTCTCCTCCATCTCTCCCTCCCTTTGGGATTTTAGGCACACAAGCGCACATGTCTGGCATGTTTCTCAAGCTGCCCGGTCCAGGACTCAGACTCTGCAGTCGGCCATGTGGGATCCACTAGACCACAGAATGAGCCTAGTGGGTCCATTTTTAAAGGAAAAAACATCCTGAAAAGCTTCAATCAACTTAAATTATTTTATTTCAATGTTACTTAAGCTTACAAATATAAACTAGGGCCATTTTGTATGTGTGTGTGTGTGTGTGTGTGTGTGTGTGTTTTCTTTAGACAAGGTCTCACAGTCATAATCCTCTTGCCTCATTTTTTAGGGTGGACTGGGAATCAAATGTGGGCTGAGCCTGCCACGCAGTAGAGTTCAGTGCACACTACTATGGCTGGGCATGTAATTTTTTTTTATCTATTTATTTATTTTTTAATATTTTTGGAGTGGGAGAGAGAGAGGTTATTACCAACACCATCTCACCATGCATTGCTCCTTCTGCCTCAGCCTCCCAGCTAGACAGAATGACAGGGGCTTGTGGAAACAGAACCTGGCCCTCCAATGCAGCCCCAGCCTTGCCCAGAACCCTTTGTTTGTGCCATCACAGCTGGGCCTGTTTTTTAATTTAAGTTCTTATCCTATAAAAAAAAAACCCCACCAGATTTAGAAATTAAATATAAACAAAACAAAAAAATTGACTATTCTTCATATTAAGAATAATTTAACATGACAAATAATGTATTTTGATGAAACTAAATCATGCCCTGTATTGTGACTATGGTGTTGCCTGCTAAAATAAAATTCAATTTCTTTTGGGCCTGGCAAGTGGCATGGTGGTTAAGGGCGCTGGACTCCAACCATGGTTCGAGTCCAGGACCTGGTGGCTGGCTTTCTCACTTTTCCTTTCTCACTCTATCCCTCTCTGGTCAAATTAAAATAAATAAATAAATAAAATGAAATATAAAGTTAAATAAAACAATTCTTTTTTTTTTTTTTTTGAGAGGTTTTTGCTATAGGGCGCATGCACTCACCAGACAGACAGAGACAGAGAGATAGAAAGTGAGAAATCACCCCCTAGGGGGGATGGCCACGTCACAATCCCTTCTCTTTCATTCTCCTCTCAGGATCTTGGGCACACACGCACATGCACCCGGCGTGAGTTTAAGCCACCGGGTCCAGGACTTGAACCGCAGTCAACTACATGGGAGTTCAGTGACATAGCCATTACTGCTGGTCCCAAATAAAACAATTCTTAAAAAAAAAAAAATCAACTTCTTTCGCAGTCAGTATGCCTGTGCCATTAAGTGACCTATGATGCTTTGATTTTCTCACCACTGTTCTGTTAGAGCTATTAGAACAGTGTGGGCCCATGATGTCAGTTGGCTTTCCTTTTGTGCATCAATGCATTGTTTTCATTTTAAATCCACCTCTGTTCTTCCCTCATTACCCCAGAACAATAAAAGCAGCACTGAAACCCAAAGCAAATACAGAAATACAGGTGCTGAAATTGTGAGGTAAAACTGAGTTATAAAGGAGTCATTCAAAAAACCCACAATATACATGGGTAAATCTAAAAAAATTATCAAAATGAAAGCCCACAGACAATTTGGAAAAACTGTCCTCAAAAAAACTTTTGTTTTCGGGGGCCAGCAGGTGGTGTGATGGTTAAGGCACTGGATTCCCACATGGTTGACTGTGGTTCAAATCCCTGACCTGGCAGCTTGAAAAATCACACAGGGTACGTGTATGTGTGCCCAGATTCTCAAATGAAGGGACTGAGGTGTGGCCATTCTCCCTGGGGGATGATTTCTCACATTCCCCCTCACTGTCTTCCTCTCTGGCAAGTGCCTGTGCCCTATGGCAAAAACCTAAAAAACAAACAAAAACTATTTCTTCCCAAACTTTCACTAGCTATCAAAGGCTCTACTGTATTTACTTCCATTATTTTAAAAACCACTTTGCCTCCTAAATTGCATTTAGTAATATTTTTACATTCTTATTAATCAGACATGTAGAATTACCATTAGGGGGCTTGTGATATGTAATCGCTCTAGGTTGGTAAAATTTTAGTCCAAAACAAAAACACATGACTTCTAGTTATTCTGTACTGTCCTGCCAAATGTAAGTGAAAACTTTCCATTCAGTTTTGTAAGAAAGAATGCCCAGGCCCCACCATCTACCTGAGCCGCCTTTGAGGACTCTAGGTCCGGAGAGGCCAGTTCAGGACTTTTGGTATCAGCAAAGGAGCTCCCAATTTGGGAAGGATAAGAACTTGCCCTAGTTTTGCTTGATTGTTGTACTTCAAGCATGCTCAAGAGCTAAAAAATGGAAGAAAATACAACAGAAGGCACCCTTCCAGTACCAAACTGAAAAGAAACACCAAAACAAGAGAGCAGCATGTTTTTAACAGCTTGAGTGGAAAAAATATTGACTGGGGAGTTTGGACAGCACTGTTCATTTTCTCTCACCGCCCGCGTTATTTGTCTTACGGAGCAGGAGCCAGATACAATTCTGGCGAACAGGCTGAAGGAAGAGGTGGAGGGGTTCAGTGCAAGCTTGGGGCTGAGTAAAGAAATGAGGGCTGGGGACACCGTGGCTCTGGGGCAGGCTGAAGTCAGGGGAGGCGCTAAGTCTTCCTCCTGGCCTCGGGCACCTTCTTTGCCCAGCCTGAGTCCGGAGAGGGCACGGCACGGATCTGTCAGGTGGGTCCCTGGCCCTTTCAGAACGCGATGAGCAGGATGAATCCCTGCCCCTGCTTCTTTCGAGTGGGGAAGAAACGCGGGGGGTCCTTTCACTTTCTCAGCCCACCCTTGTTCTGGAGCTCAGACCTACAACTGCCGCAGTGGGGGTCGGGCGCGAGCCTCCCCTCGCGGGGAAGAGACTCGGTTTCCCCACGTCGG